TAGGGAAAGGGCAAAAGTATCACAATCATATAAATAAATAAATATGAATTTGGACAAGTTTGAGGCCTGTTCTAACATCAAACTAACATGGACGTAGCAACATGACCAAGAAGGGTGGACAAAATATGTTGGAGGCCATCGCCATGGAGATGGAGAAAATGGAGAAACCAATGAAACCAATTAAAGGCTAATTAATACTTTTTATAGGTCTATCAAAATGAAAGACCTTAAAGCAGCTTTTTGGACAGTCGGAGCATTAGGAGATGAACAAGTTACGGGTTACTGCCCTCCATGTCTCATTATGCCTACCATAACGATCAACCAGGTCAGCAACCTAGCCTAGCCTAACAGTTAGCCCTGCAGCTAATGCAACCAGGTACAAACAATATTTCTTTCGTGCGATATCAAACCGACACCTGCCTCTGTGTTTGAGCCTCAGACCTGAGTGACCCAGTGTTGAGTTTCCAGTCAGGTCGTCATAATCACGCAAGAAGAAGAAGAAGAAGAAGAAGAACCACACTTTATATATACATCAATTCGATATTGCATCTAAATAGATGTTCAGGTTCACCTTTAGAAATATAATTTATCACCGTATGTAGTACAACACTTTACGACATCTCGTCAGCTCATAAACAGCAACAGACGAATGAAAATTATATACATGCATAAATATCTACTTTAGACAGGTGGTTAGGACTGAGGCCTTTGAGAAAATCATATCAAAGCTCACTCTGAGAGACTGATGTTAGAAAAAGATTTTTTTTTTTTTTTTTTTTTTTAAATGAGTGCACTGCCCCTGTAGGAAGAAGCCCTTCAGTTGCATTAATTTGCTATTTTTTTTCCCCTGCAGCCTGAAACGTTTGGATGAGCTCTCTAGGGGCTGCCATCAGCCTCACCATGGCAGAGCTTACCACTTCAATTTGTAGTGCTTTTCCGCCATCAAAGAGCTACAACACGCCTGCTGTGATGTGTGTCGGCCAATGTGTTGGTTGAGCCCAGAGCACTGTTTAAAATCATCTTCAATCACTCACTTAAATGCTACTGTGCACAATACAGTACTGCAACATCAAATGTAAAAAAAAGTAAAAAAAAATCGATGTATCCTCAGTGTCAGGTCATTTGATCCAAAAATAGTTATAACAAGAGCAAGAAGTGGACAGAGTAGGTTTCTTGAAGACCTCTTGTCTTCAAGAAACCTACTCTGTCCAGTTGCCCTCGACGTAACTATTTTTGTATCTATGTATCATTTTTATTCTTCCTGCCAATCTACAAGTCATGGCAATACAAGATTTTGCTTTGCCACGATTTGCCTAGGTTCTCAATTGTTTTCTGTCATGCCCTCCCCCCCTTGTGGACAGATATGTTTTCACACCCGCCATGCCCCAATCCCTAACCCCCCGCGAATTGAAATACTATTTAGAACCTGATAACATATACAGTGGAACCTCGAGATACAAGCGCCCCAACATACGAGTATTCCAAGATACGAACGAAGCCTTCAAGCTAATTTTTGCTTTGAGATATGAGTAAAGATTTGAGATGCAAGCACGCTTACAGGAATGGATTAATATTTTTTCTGTTATTTTTTATGGGAAAAAAATATTTGCGATACGAGCACCTCGAGTTACGAGCTCGGTCCTGGAGCAGATTATGCTTGTATCTTCAGGTTCCACTGTATATATTTTCTTATCTGTACAAACCCCTGTATGAGTTGCTGCCACCTAGTGGCATGCTGTAATGCTTGTTATCATTCAAGCATTACAGCGGTTGTATATTTATGTCCAGCGTCCCAGAAGTACTGTGCTACTGCAATTCTGCATTGATAGAACCTAAATTAATGTACGTGTACAAAAATATGTACATATTTTGGAATGTGCTTCAAAAAGCCACAAGGCTTGACTTTTCTTGTCCTTTAGTGAAGTCTTCTGTCTTTTCCAACTCGAACCGTAAAACTGAAAATTATACAGAGATAGAAACGCAATTTACTCAAACGCTGTACAAGCAAGGCATTGCATAGGTACTTCAATTAGCATCTATCAGTAAACAAAATTGAAAAAAGTTAGCATCCGTTGAAAACTAGCAGAGTATATATTGTCAGAAAACATGAGGAATTCCTTGCAGAAATACACAATCATTTGATGATTGGTCACAAATAATACTTACGGATAAATATTCTCCGAGGCAAAAGTGTCAAAAAAAAAAAAACCCTCCAACAATGTTAGCTCCAAAAAAAAAAACAAAAAAACCCTCCAACAATGTTAGCTTAGTAGTTGGTTTAATTAGCATGTGTTCGTCTGAGTTTGCAACAAAAAAAACAAACAAACAAAAACCACACAGCATAGCTGAATATGTGACTGAGTCCTTGGATTACCTCACATGTTTTTAGACTGATGTATTTTATTTTGAAAGGTCAACAGACTTGCCACCAACTATAGAAAGCCTTATGTGATTTGTGATGTGATTTTAACAGAAATCCTTTGTCAACTGACAATCTCAAAAGAAGCATTAGCATTCAGTGTTAAACTAGCTTTTCAAAGTTGATCACATTAGCAAAAGAACAAACAAACAGACAGACAGACAAACAAAAATACAATCAGGCAAGGCATGTGATTGAAGGGGACAGTGACATCCTAGTTCCATCAGGAAAGCATGTGCCACTACTTACTGTTACACAAAAT